ATATTTTATCAACACGGTAGAAGTTATTAAAATGGAAACAACGAAAGCGCATTTTATAGAGAACAACTTCTCGATTTCAGACTGCTTGACTTATTAGCATGACTTAGAGACGGTGGTGTTAATTGGAGGTCTTTACCCGTCCTTACAGTTTCATGTTAAGTTCGTTTAGGGCTTCAGAGGCTTATGGCCTTTTAAAACTATCCTGTTTTTCTCAGTTTTTTTGAGCAAATAAAGTAGGATAATAATAATATGCTGGGTTTTACAAAAGAATTCACTCACCACAATATCCTTCATGCCGACTGTAAGCAAAACAACAAGCTTCGTGGAATTCTTCGCATCACTAACATTCACACAAGATAAACACGCCACTTGCCGTACAAAGCATGCCAGCCATTAGCAGCGAAGTCTACAGCGACAACATGTCCTTAAAGAAACACAGCTCCGTCTGTAGCAGGAAAGACTACTGGAAAGAATAAATTAATGTCGAAATCATTCACCGCGTGCAGTTGTGAAATAGAATATGCCCGCGTTAGGCTGCAACAGAACACTCAGGGTTGGGCGATACACGGGGACATGGCTGTCTAATCGAATGCAATTCTTTCAACGCATTAATCATTTATCGCAAATATTGTTTCATGATAAAGTTCAGGCGCTTTATTCCAAGTGCCAATTGACGTGGCAATACTCGCGGTAATAGAACACAGCAAAAACAAATGAAAAGTTACTTTTCATTGCTGTCAATTTATTTGTGAGCGAACGCGCCAGCTGATGAATCATTTGTTCAAACAGGAAACATTAATTAAAAATAAATGCGCAGATATTAAGGTTCATATTTTCCAAACGTAGAAGACAAGAATTTAAAACAAGAAAGAATATGTTGATTATTCAAGTTTATTGCAAGTTGATAACCCCCCGTTATCCCGAAGAATGAGATATAACACTGATAAAACGGAATGTTATCTGTTATTGCAATGTTTAGCACTCATCAAATTAGCTTTCTTTTCCGTTGAGAGGTTAAACATCACAAAGGAACTTGCTAGAAATCATTAACTGATTATATTCAAATTTCAAGGGAAGATCTTCTAAAAAAAAAAAATTAAAATAACAAAAGACTATTTCACAAACATTAATTGTTCTTATCGCATCTCTTCCCCCAGGGGCCGGCTGGCTAAACCTCCGACCAAATGTCCAGAGTGCTAGCCAATCAGCTTTGCGCTGAAACAACCGTAAGTTAATTTATGAATGGCGACTTTCAATATTGGCCCGGGTCCGCGTTCTTGTTGCTAACTGACCTAAGCATGGCGAACAAAGCCGCTGTGAGGACAACATTATGTTGATAGCCATAATAAATTTTAATTTTCTGACGATGAAGAAAATTCTAGAATAAACAAATGAAAGCGAATTCGAAAACAGCACGCATATGACGACAATCAGAATTTGCTGCCATTAACAGAGGTTTAATGCACCTGAATACGCTGCACTCTTTTTGTGACTTTCTTCATGATCTAACCTGTTAACTCACAAAAATTCACCTTGCCAGGTAATAATTAGATTTGCAGCCTAAGACCATGAAAGACAGCTAGCAGGTTACATCACCTGAAACGGCGTTGGAAAAGCGCCGTAAATCCATCTTAGGCTATGTTCACTCTTAGTGGCCGAGCACCGACGGTGCCCGATTATGATTCTTGCTGGACACTAATGTGAACACACCTTTTTTCCCCGGGGGCTGCTCCCAGAAAAATTGGGTGAGGGTGTGCGGCCCGCTTCCCCATACCCTTACCCTAATTATGACCAAAATCTTCGATTTTTCCCTACGCCTATTTATGACTTGAAATTAAAAGTAGTTTCTGCAAAAAAGACATACCGAGTTCAAGACTAGAGTGCAATTTATGACCAAAATGACCAAAATCGATGCCCTATTTATGACCGAAACGGCTCGGAAAATCCTACCCTCTGCGGCCGCACATACCTATATAGTCCATATAAGGGAGCAACACCTCCCCCCGCGCGCGAGCTTTTTTCACACCAAAATTCAGGCGCACTGCCCGTTCCCGGGCATAAGGTCTCGACCTTGTACTCAGGCTTTAATGTAATTGACATGGGTACTTTGAGTACCCAGTATCTGAACATAACACTATATTGTGCCGGCGCCCAGCTGTCGGTGCCCGGCCGGTAACCGGCCGGGGCAACAGTGCTTGGGCACCAAGTGTGAACACGGCCTTAAACTAATTACTGGGTGCAAGATGACTTAGACTCAGACTTTGACCGGGCTCATGCATTCAACGCCCACAACATAATGAGTACGAAGTTTTATTAATCACTATCTCCATGTGGAGCTATATAATAAGCGATGTTGGCTCCTGATTTTTTACACAAAGTCACACAACACACGCAATATCGATAGAAATGAGGATACACTGATAAATACTGATGACCTAATGAGACTAATTAGGAAAACGAAAAACACGAGAAAAATGCACACACACAAAAAAAATGAATAATGTAATTCTCTTTCCCCCCCTCTCCTCCCGCAGGACACTTGGTTTAGACAACGCCCTAACGCCCTCTGGGTCTCAAGCCGATCCAATTCGCAAGAAGGGTTTCGTGATGATAATATCACATTATGAACTAACTGAGAAATAATCGGGAATGGTTTCAGTATGAAAAGGTAGAATTCAGTTAATTTCCACAAGCTATCTCATCAGGCAGTTTTCACCTGCTCATAAAGTAAAGTACACTCGACTTCCGTTGTACTCACGAGTCCGGTCCGCGTTCCTCTTTGAGAAGAACGTGAGTTCGGGAGAGGAGCGCGGGCTCCACGCGCGTGAAGCAGCAACTACGTCTCGGGTTTGCATAACTGTCTCGAATTTTCCGAACACCCCGTCGTGCTTGGATGAGGTTATTGAAACATGGAAAAAGTGCTCTATTGCTTAATAAGATAGCTTTAGAATTTAGTCTGCTGTGTGTCATGTTGATTTTTTTGTATTATCTCTCTGCCCCTCCATATCGATTATTCTTTCCGACGGGCATATGCATTGAAGTCAGATTGAATTGTCAAAATATTCATTTGCGGGATTCAGTTGCAAAGGAAGGCAAATTTTAACATTTACAGGTTCCTTTACGGAATGAAATTCAGCAATAAATTAAGCAAGAGTGGCTTGTCTCATCATGCCAGTGTTTTTTTTTTCAAAGCAATCGAGGTTGTTTTGGGCAAGCAAGAGGATTTTTTTTTCACTTGAAGGGTGAAGCAAATTTTTGGGTGGCTGCCAGCATGTGTAGACATGCGAAAGCTATAGGAGCCTTGTTCCGTACCGGGATCCTTGATCTGTGATTCAGGGTCGGCCATGGGGGACGGGGGGGGGGGG